CGAAACGATAGGAATTTTATAAAACGCACAAATGTGCAAACAACGAAACAGCACAAAGCTGAAAGATGCAACCAAAAGCCAAAAAAAGGAGAGGACAGATCCGAAGATAGCCTAGAAATTACGATAACACTTACACACCTACAACACAATAAAAAACTACAGAGCTCCAATATTGGAGAATCAATGATCCCCACAAGGGATAATACTCGCTCCTATAAAAAGCTAAACCAAAAGACAATCCCAACAAAATACAACACCTAGAACACAAAAACAATTAAACACACTAAACAAACAACTAAATTAAAAGAGCCCTTCCCTAACAAACAAACCAAAGCCAGCACGAAGTACCAACGTATACATGGCCAACCGCAAAAGACTGGCACACAATCTTAAAAACCACTCCCGAAACTGCCAACAATCGCCTAACTGAAGTCGGAACCCACTCCAAACCAGTCCAGGAATCCCACACGCCCCACAACCGGAGGAACACCAAACTCACTCCCCCACACCACCACTACCCTGAACCCGACCAACACCACTAGTCAAGTCCGGCGGCACTGGCCTTCTCACGAATCCCACGCCAGGGAAAATAGGGGAACAAGGAGCGAGCTAGACGCCTCAGGCCCGGTCACTTTGATAAAGACGCTGCAGCATCCCAAGCCACGCCAACCCCCAAATCGATACCCCACCTGGAACCACCTCAACACCATGGACGCCGGCGTACCACAACCACAAAACAACACCAGAAAATCGGAGAAAATCTGGCCACAGACGGCCGCATGCATCCACTGGCATGAACGAAACAAGTAAGAGCGAAAATGTAATGATTAAAATTGATGTGGAATATTAAATGAGATTTTGAGTTTCTATTTAATAATATTTAAAATGTAATGATTAAAATTGATGTGATATAAATGTAGGAAATAAGTGATTGTAAATGATGGGTAGTTAAAAATATATGAGCAAATAAATAGTGATTTTGTTGATGTGATGTGAGAATTATTGATTGATATTATTTCATTATATTGATAAAAATAGGAGAGTTAAATTGAATTAAAGCTGAGTTGAATTTTGACTTTAAATGTGAAAAAATTATCCAACAAATAAAAAAATGGTATCCAATTGTGTATCCTCATTCCACTCATGTTGAATGACAACCAGAGGTCGAGGTGGCTATTAAAAAATTCCTGGTCCAAACCGTCAGTTTAGGTTTGCATTTTGTTGGAACAGAAACCGGCCAGGGTATAGATACAAGCCGGTTCACTGAACTGGCGGTTCACGGTTCAGAACCAGCTCGTCGGTTTTGGCCGATTCAGAGCTGAATTAATTTC